GTCCTACTCCTCTCTGATGATCTCCCCTCTCCTGCTGGCTACAATGGTACTTCCCAGGACCAGGTTGGGCAGGCAGAGGGGCTTCACTAGCAGACACAGCGGCGAGGCAGCCAGTCAAGGACTAGGAGGAGGTGAGGGACTAGGGTTCCGAGGGCCGTGGGGGATACCCTGTTGCCTGAGTCCAGGCCGCCAGAGCCCCTTCAGGAAGGTCTGGAGCAGGAGCTAAGGAGTTAGAAGGTATTCCAGGACCAGTGAAAGGTAGCCAGAGCCGAGAAAGATTCCTTTCCTAGCTTGGTCAGTAATGTGCAGTGTGCCCCGCTTCTGGCGAGTTATTGTCCATCTCTGGGCCTTGTTTTCCTCTTCTGCTTGCCCGACACTAAACTTCTTGATTTCAGTAAAGGAAGTGCCGCTAATTCCCCTTCCCCTCAAGGCCTGTTTGAAGACCCTAGTTGTTCCTTTGAGAACCTTTGAGCCCTAGTCCTTAATCCTTTCAACTGAGGACAGAGGGTTCATTCACCAGGACACCCAATTGTAGTTGAAGAGCGCTCTTTCTTTTTGTCCGTGGGCGAGAGTCAGGTCTTACACAGCTTGCCTCTTCTTTTCTCTCCAGTTCCAGATAACATCAAGATGCCGAAGACTGAGGAAACTGTGTTCCAGAATGATCCCAGTGTAGCAGAGAATGGGGCCCCTGAGCCTAAAACACCAGGGCAGAGCCAGAAAAGCAAGAGTTTCTGTTTACATGACCAGTGTCCTGGTAGGTCTAGAATCATGTCATCACTTCTATGGACAGCAATTAGGCTAAAGGAATAGACAGCCTGTGATTTAAGGGCCTTCAAGGGATATAGAAGGCTCTTGCAACCCTGCATTTCTCCTTACTAATCCTTCTGTTAGTCTTCTTTTGGATGATTCTTTCTCTCGTCTTCCTGCCCCCTCTAATTTTTACATGCAGGACTTAGGCCCCTAATGGGTAAGTAAAATTAAAAGATTTTGGTTTTAGAGAAAGAGACCAACAAAGCAAATTACTTGTGTTTTACAATAGTCGAGAGTGATTTAGTCAGTTCAAAGCATGGGAAATAAATAGCATTTTTGTATTTTGATTTTGTAAAGTGTAAATGGTAGATCTAGGACAGATCAGAAGTGATCCAAATTATCTGTTGCTTCAATTGTGTTCTGTCCTTTTCCAGGGGTGCTTTGTTGACATAAAAATTACCACTGCTCTGGGGTAAAATTATTTAGATCTTTAATAATAGCATTTTTATGTGAACTTTGGGACTTTAAATCTTTTTCACACCTTATATTAGGCATTTGAAGCTTTGGCTTGACTAGTCCAACCTCACAGGAACTCAATTGCAGTTATTTTACAATAATCTCCAGTGAATTTAACCAAAGATTAATCTGCAGACCTCTCCAGATGTAGCAGTTTGATCTAACCTCTTGAAGACTGAAGCGGGAAAAAGTATGAAGTTGAATCACATGTGTTTCTCTGGTGGCCACTTGGGGCGACTGCTAGTAAGCAGAATGGCACAATTCAGACTTCATAATGCCTCTCAAATAAATGATGTCTTAATGAATTAAGTAGATGGTGTATTTTAACATATGTAGCTTTTTCGTTAGGATAGAAAGGAAATATCAGTTGATGAGACTAACTTTTCAAGAAAAGTCTCATCGACTGTTTTTTTATGAAAAATAAATGGGCATACATAGACCATCTTCTTGGAGTGAGTTTTAGGATTCTTATATGTGAGTTTTATTATATCTTGAGGATCAATAGTTCTCTCTCACCAAGTTATGAAATTACATTGAAATTGAGTTACAAAATCATTTTATTGCATATTTTATTTTACATATCGAGTAATAATTGTAACTACTATGTATACTTTGTTCCACTACCGAAAGTACTCTGCATAATGAATTTAGAACATTGGTTCCCAAATTCCAATGCCGGGCTGTGACATAGTTCTTACCAATATTGAATGAAATAAAACAATAAAGATGTTGTAATGAGTTTTCAAAATAATGTTAAATTGATTCAATTTAAAATTATTCTTAATGCTGACTGTGTTTTCTTTATACTTTCTGAGGTATTAAAATATGTTTTCTTTTTATGAAGTGATTATTTTGATGATGTAGGGTAGTTTTCTTGTTTGTTTGTTTGTTTGTTTGCTTTCATGTCCATATGTGGAAAAATAAAAATTGTTCTAATCATTATCCGTCACTCGTGTTTTGAAATGTTGTCTGTTGAATCCCCAGATTTGGCAACTACTGTTTTAGAGGCAGGATTCAGCTTTAGAGCCATCTAGTAAGATTTGTGTGGTATCTATAAGGAGATTTTAGCCTTCATCTTGTGTGTAGCCCCTGAGGTAGGAAGAGAACAGTGGGAACACAGTTACTTTTAGATACACGTTAATTTTACAAATCACAACTTATTCATTGTTTGCTGTGTTTTACTTATGGTTTTACATTTCAAGTGGAAGGTTTTGAAATCTGTTTTATGTTTTTCAAAAACTAATTTCTTCCTCCCATGCCTGACTTCTCTGAGATGTTCAGTGTTATTGAAGAGCAAGGATTTCAGAAAACTTCTAATAGTAAAATGTTTGAATGAGTCTGTGTAAGATCCGTTTGATGAATCTAAACTTGGGAGCCTTACTTGGCAGAGTGAATCTCTAAATAAAATAAAAATTCTCCTTCTGTGGGTTCCCTGTTGATGATGGTTACACTTTTTTTTTTTTTCCCAGAGAGCAGACCTGATGTCTTTTCTGTCACAGATCTGATAGAGACAGTTAATGAAGTTTCCAAGCTGAGCATCGCACATGAAATCGTAGTAAACCAAGATTTCTATGTGGAAGAGACCATTTTACCTTCAAACAGGTACAGATTATTCAGGTTTTTTTCCAGTTTACTCTTCCTGGGGCGTAGGTACATAGCACAAATGGCTTTTGGTCAGGTTTGAAGCATCTTATTAATAAATTTAATGGTTGAGTATGTCTTATATAGTACCAACAAACCAGTGTAATTATAACTTTTAAAGGGTCAAAGCAGCAAATTATATTTAAACAGGTAATAAACCACTCCAGTTACAGGTTGAACATCCCAAATCTGAAATCCACGATGCTCCAAACTCCAAAACGTTTCGAGTACCAATGTGATGCTCAAAGGAAATGCTCATTGCAGTATACTACAAGTATGCTGCAAATATTCCAAAATCCAAAAAATCCATAATCT